TTATTTTAAAAGGCTTAGTTAAGAATTTATGTTTTGTCATTGTACAGTACTCCTGTTCACATAAGCATCTGAGGCACAAGGACAATTGCTTGCCTCATTGCATTGTTCTTTATCTAGTGACTTCTATACATTTGACTAGAACTTGCAATATCTGCCAGCTAGGATGGCTGATCTGTATGCTAGATGGAAATCATGTGAATTATAGCCCAATTTTTGTGCAGATCAACAGATAGTGATGATTAAAAGATGCTTGCTTGGATGTTGAATATGTTAAAAATCAAAACCAAAATCCTGTCTTTTATTCCTTGCTGGTATATTTCTTTGGGGGGTTATTTGTAACCCAAGGAAAGAGCAACTTTGAAAAGCAAGGAAATAGATTTGAGATTGCATCTGCCTATGTTAAACCGATTCTGGATATTTAAAGCCAAAATTTATCTATTATAATTTGTTGGACAATTATTATATATCTCAAAATAAAATGATACTGCTTAGATTTTACATATTTTCTAGGGCATTCTTATTTTATTTTGAGAAAAAAAATAAGGAAGGACATATAGCATATGCCCTACTCCATTTTTTCTCTGGGACTTTCTGAAAAACATTGTTTGGCTTTTTTCTTAATGCATAAAATTAAATGTTTGGTAGACGCAATCAGCAGCATAAGATTTTATTATAGATTTCTATGTGATGTAATCTGAAACTCACTTGTGAATCGCCTTCTTTTAAATCACCATTTAAGCCTTGGGCTTTACACCTCCAACATATTTCCTTATGTGTTAGAACAGAGTCCCCTAGACCTACTCTACTTATGGCTGGCTCAGCATTCCTCCTATATTTAGGGAACTAGAGCCATGAAATTAATGCCTGCATAAAAATAGTTTGTTTTACGTTTTGCAAAATGGCCTCAATGTAGTTGGAAGATAACCAGGGGTGGGCTGATACTAGTTCACACTGGTTCACCTGAACCGGTTAATTTTATGGCCAGTTCGGCAAACAGGCAAATCCCACCCTTGGCTGGCCCCGCCCACCCCACTCCACTGCTGCCAGGAGTCCCCACGTGGCCCATTTTGGATTGCAGGTAAGTGAAGGGCCTGTGTGGAGGCTCAGGAAGGGTGAAAAACAGCCTCCCGGAGGCTCAAGGAAAGCCTCTGGAGGCCGGGGAAGGCATAAATGTTTTCACTCCCAGGATGGTGCAGGAGGCTGACTAGGCCATGCCCACCATGGCCACGCCCACCCAGCAACCGGGCAGAGAACCAGTTGTTAAATTATTTGAAGCGCACCCCTGAAGATAACCTATGGAAAACATTGATCAAATAGTTCAATGTGCATCTTGCAGGGATCATACAGATGACACAAACGTGTCTGTACTACAAGAAAGATCTGAGAGCGTTATGAACCTGAACTTGAAGTGTTGTTTGGATTTCAAAATAGTAGAAATGAGACTAATAGAAAATATACTATCCTCTGCCCAGCCCAATTCTAAAATGTTCAAGAAAGAGGTCTATGATTATGGTTATGTACTTCCTTGATAATAAGTCATGCTGAATGTAAGTTTTGATACTCAACAAATATCCATACTAGTAGGCTACAAAGCAGTTGTTTTCAAATTGTAGCTTGATGGCAGGAAATCCTTTCAGTCCAATGACAGGGGATGCTCCCATGTGAGACTGTACACGCACATTGCGTCACACACAGAGTTGAATAAAAGAACTTTATCATGTTATTTTCCATTTATGAACTGCTTTGTTTTTCCCATCATTTCTTCTGCTTCTCCCCCTCCATTAAAGAAGGAAAGACACAACAGTTTCACATTCTTTTCAAAAGGCAATGCTAGGAATAGTTCTCTGGAAAAATCCTCAAACAGGTGCAGTTCCTATGTGTATAGTATTGGTGAGATCCTGGGAACACACCTACACACATCAGATTTGAACAATTTGCTAAACCAAAGCAGTTTTGGGGCAGCTGTTGTTTTGAGCTCCGAGCTTGGCAATTTGGTTGCAAATGTTTTGTCACCATTCGAGGAGACATTGTCAGTGCATTTTGAATTGAATTGAAACCCAATTCAAAACACACTGATGTCTCCTCGAAAGATGATGAAACCTAACTACCAACCCGAGCTACACATTTCAGAGTTATTTTTTTTACTTCATAACTAACCTAAATTCTTCCATGTGTGCCTTGTCAACTAACCATTATTACCTGGATATGTGAATCTACACTCTAATCCTTGGCCTTTTATGACCAACTGGACCAATCATTCTCTTTCTGCCACCCTATCTTATATAATTGTTATAGGGAAACACAAGAATATGTCACTCTGGGCTTCTAAGTGAATAGCAGTATATAAATCTAATTAATAAACATTCACAAAAATATATTCTGCAAAAAGCTGTTCCTAGACAACTGAATCAAAGTACCTACAATTTCAAATGACACCTCTCCAGTTTAAGCCTTGGACATCTTCAGCTTGTCTTTTTAAGCAAGCAGTAGAGAATATTTTACCTAGTTATTTTCTGATCCATCCAATGCACTTCTGTGAAATGTAGGGCCCTTTTAAGTGAGGCTTCAATATTGTCCACAATACCCTAGCATCAGGGGTCAGTAGTTTTCTGCTGCTGAGGTCTATTTTGTATTCGTATTCTTGGCAGCTAAGCACAGCTGTCAGCCAAGCCATGATGTAATACCATTACAGAAGGCACAGGGTGGAGGTTTTAGTCAATTTCCTGCCATCTGGAGAGATTTGTGGGACTGATACTTTCACTGATGTATTAAGCTTATAAAAACACCTTTTTTCTCTCCCTGCTTCCTGCTGATTTTTGATACTTTTCCAACAAATTTTGAGTGCTGCAAATGGTCTCCAAAGACTGCAAAAGAGAAAGAAAAAGCATGCATGGTCAACAAGCAGGGTGGCTTTTTTTCTGCCTACCTATGTAAGGATTATACAGTGTTCAGCCCAAAGATTTTATTTGGCTCCTACATCCTTTCTCAGCTATCACCAGTTTTTAGTAATCAAGGTAAAGTACATATCTTGGGTTTTATGAATGCGGGAAAGATTTTAAAAAAACCTTTTAAGTGAGATTTAAGAAGAATACTTTTGCTATAAAAATGTCTAATTTCGATTTTGCCCCCCCCCCCCAACTTCATCTACCTTGCCCACGAATCCTTCCCAACACATTCCATAATTCCACTTCTCCCACCTCATGGCTATTAATCTAAAAAAGAAAAAACTGCATTAAAGGTCTACACAAATGTCCGAAACCTTCAACTAGAATTTTGTTGAGACCAGGGGTATCAAACCCAAATCCGGCCCATGGGGTGCTTAAATCTGGCCCACGGGGCTGCCCTGGAAACAGTGAAGGACTAGCCCATTGTGCCTCTGCCAGTGGAAATGGAGCTCGGGAGCCTGTTTTCTCTGGCAGAGGACTCGGGCCACCACAGGCGCCCCCAACACGAGTGATGTTGAGCTGGCTACGCCCACCCTGGCCACGCCCACCCTGACCACGCCCACCCCAGCCCCCTGAGGTCAAACACAAACTCATTGAAATCAAGTTTGACACCCCTGGTTTAGACAGTAGAGCATAGGAGTGATTACCGGGGACTACTTTGCTACATTCTTCAACACCAGTCTCTTCCCCTTTTCCTTTCTTTTTAAAACAGCAGAAGGTATTTTAAAGAGGAAGTTAACAATTTTATCACTTTTAAGAAAATAAGAGGACTGTTTGGTGCATTGGATTTTGGAAGGTAAGTAGTGACATTCAGGAAAGGGCTTATCTGATAGAAAACAAGAGGTTCTCCACAGCATATTCACTTTTTTGACAGACACAAGTGACCAGGATTATGCAGTTGAAATATATGGAAATATGAAAAATTTGATCAGTGATAATTTGGGGTGACAACTGGTTATTTTACTATTGCTTTTTTCATCGGGATTTCACCTTTGAGACTTTTGGAGGTATCTTCTCCACAGGTAGTCTTTATTAGTAACTGCCTTGTTTAGCAACTGTTTGCAATCACATTGTTCTGTAAAGCAAAAAGAAAGGTGAAATAAGATCAAAAGAGCAGTCATGGTTTCACTTAACAACTGCTTCATTTGGTGTCCAAGTTGCCAATTCCAACCGTGGTCATGAAGGATTACATGTAGTTCTTTGTGCTTTACGACACCCTTGGTTCCTTCTTCGGTCAATTGCTTTGACACATCAGAACACCAAGTATTGCTTGTCTCCTTAGTAGCTCGATTTAAGCCATTGTTTCACTATCATTATATAAATCACAATGGTGCCTTCAGTAACATGAACTGAAACCACACAAATCATATTTTTGTTTCGAACCGATGAAACACGGCATTGCCCTTTAACCACAATGTATAAACTGCTTCAATCCTGGGGCATATAGCTCATCAATACTTTGAATGTATTAATTTTTTTCTCCACCTATAAATGATGCTGGGTATTTTCAGAATCCTCATGAAAAGCGGATCATTGCCTTTTGCCCCAAGATCTCACTTGAACATTGAATCTCAAAACAAGGTGAATTGGTAACAACGTGATACGAGGCGAGAGCAGATAGTGGAGGACTGGTGCCTAAATGCTAAAAATCATGAGCTGGTCCAGGTTTCACGCTTTACTATCGCTACCGCTTATGGACAATTTTAGGTAAAGATCACCGCACGTTTTTAGTTCAATATACGTTTGCCGCTAATGTTTAACTGTTAAATTATTTATTTACCAAAATAATGGAGTACTGTGTCATAACACAAAGAGACACGAAGATTGGGAAAAGCGCTACAATCGACTCCCGTAGAAACACAACGACCACATCGCATCCCCCTGTAATCTCTTAGTTTGTTCTCAAATCTTTAGAAGGGCGGGATCGATATTCCCCCGTGGGACCATGGCAACCGTTAGCCAATCCCGGTTTAGGACGAACCTTCCCAGGGCCAATTGCGCGATGGCATTGTAAGCTCCCGCTTCGGAGCTCTATTGGGCTGCTAAGCACGCGAAGCGTACGCCGTCGAGGTTCACGCATGCGCGGTGTGGAGTGGTGGCTGAAACCGGGTGCTTGTGCTGACAGGGCCATAGCCTTCTCCGGACTAAAGTCGAGGCTCGAACGCGCGCATCTCTTCCTCCCTGGTGCCGCTGCGGCTGCTGTTGCCAGCATGTTCCTCACCCGCTCCGAGTACGACAGGTAAGTGCAGCCGGGACGAGCGGAAGCGCGGCCTGCCTTGGCCGGGGCTGAGTCACTGCAGCGGCCTGGCTTTCGGGAAGGAGTTGAAACGACCTCCCTCCTCCAGCTTGCCGGCCTCTCCTCCAGGGTCTCTTTAAGAGTGGCGGGGGCTTTTTGCTTCTTTCTTCGGAAAGGAGGCGCTTCGGCCGGACCTCCGTGCCTGGGAACGGAGAGCAGTTTTCCCTTGGGGGGGGGGGGGGGGGGAAGGTCTTACACTTTGGAGGATAAGCGCTCCTCGCATTAGAAACCGAAGCTTCCCAGGAGACGGTGTCCCGCAAAAAGCTTTTCGCCGGCGGCAAAAGCAGCTTTACGTAAATCGAACTGCAAAATTGAAGCACTCTGGCGGTGGAAAGAGACTGGATGTGTATCTGAAACAATACTTGAAGAAAAGTTTGCATTTGTTCCGAATGCTTTATTCCACTTAGCATTGTTCGTTGTGCTCGTTCTTTGTGCTTTAAAAAAAAAAAAAGATTTTCGATTTGCCTTAACTATGCCTGCTCATTAGTGGGTGAGAAAAAAAAAAAAAGAAGGGATTGTGACATTTTGAAGTTTATTAGTTAGAAATCAGGCCATCCCGATCCCTTTGCTACTGGTAATTCATCGAAGTATTTCTTATCCGCAGCAGACTGGGCCTAATTCGTGTTCTGTAACTACTGTGTATTTGGAGTGGTGTGTACTCTACTAGGCCAGTACATTTCCTTAGTCATAATGATGAGCCTCAAACTTTTGCTTTCGGTTATGCTTATCAGTGATTGGACCAGCTCGCTGAAATCAAGTACTGTAATACTTCTTTGCTGAATAAAAAAAGCATATCTTAGAACAATCTACTATGTGCAAATGTATTTTTAGAATGTTACTTGTACAAACCAATACATGGATAGCCGAATAAACTTTGTCAAGTATTTTTGGTAATACCCTGTGATATTTATCAAGAAGAGAAAGTTTAAGTTGGTGGTGACTTTCATAAATCATTTCGTACATTTAGTTTTTGCTCACATTTTGCAATATCATAAATTCTCAACACCTACTGTCACTGTTTTGTTTCAAGGGATCTGTTGAATTAACAAACCTGTTAAAATTGAAATTTCTGAGAAGTTTGGAGTTTAAAACTAAACCGCTAAATAGAATGCTGTCTATTTGGGAAACATGAAATTTTTCCCTATATTGGCAGAAATGTTTTTGCTAGAAAATTTAAGATATTTAAGATATGAAGACTGAATATTTGCTATTATAGATAATATTGTTTCTTTTATGAATTTGTCCAGTTTCTGAAAACACCCTTGTTAGTTATTTGCAACAAGTTGAGTTCAGCTAGAAAAATACTTTGTGTTTCTGTCTTTATTTGAAATCAAACTTTATTGCATAAGTCTGATTGAAAATCTAAATTCTAGTAAATGTCCAATGTGACTCTTGATTCTTTCCTTTGCAGAGGTGTGAACACTTTTTCACCAGAAGGAAGATTATTCCAAGTGGAATATGCTATTGAAGCTATCAAGGTACATTTGAAACTATTGTGCAAAAAGTACCTTGAGCTATTTCATAGAACTGGATGGACTGGAATGGGGGAATCTCAGAACAGTGAATGAAGATTGAGAGTTCAGTTTGAAAATAGTGTTTGAGCAATGCTATCCAATTCTTCTACTTTCGTTGAAGTAATGCTGGGATAGCTTTTACACAGTCACAATAATTGGTTGAGACTGGCAGTGTGTTGCATGTTATATTTTTTCACTTACCCAGTTGCATCCAATGGAATTTCTGTAAAATGTTAATGTAAATAATTGGGATAATGTGATGGGTCTTGTTGAAAAATGCTCAGGAATCAGTTGTGTAACACTTTGTACACAATATTTTGAATTCAGCTTTATAAGAATAAAGTCTTTATAATAAGTCTATAATAAGTCTGAACATGGTATGGTTGTTGAAAGAGAAAATCCATTTCCCAATTCGATTATGTAGGATGATTTTAGTAAGCAATTTAGTATGCAGCAACTGGAACATCAAGTTATGTTGCATTGAGAACCACAACTGTTGTAGTGATTACAATGCGGACTAGGATTAGTGTGATATAGGTTCATGTTGCTACTAAACCATGGAGATTCACTGTGTGGCTTTGGCCCAAACAGTTTTACCACATTGCATTATACCAGGAGTGTCAAACTCAAGGCCCGTGGGTCGGATCTTGACTGTGGGGTCCTTAAATCCGGCCTGCGGGGGTTGCCTGGAAATATCAAGGGATCAGAGTGCGCTGCCTCTCGTGGCTAAAACGGGCCGCATGCAGGGGTTCTGTGCCTCGTTTTCACCATCCACGCGGCCTGTTTTCGGCTGGCAGAGTGCTACAGGAGGCCATGGAGGGTGAAAATGAGGTGCAGGGAGGCTATGTGCAGAACCCCCACACACCCCATTTTGGCCGGCAGGGTGCTGCAGGAGGTATCCATTACACCCTCCCCTGGGCCCTGTTGTTGAAGTCGAGAACATTCACAACGGAATACCTGAATACCTGTGGTTATTTTTGGCATGGTGACAGCGCTATTATTTTGCACTGAATATAATTAAATTCATCTTTCCTTATTCTGAACCTTCACAGTGGCACATGAATAATTAGTAGACTTAATCTATAAGCATTCCATTAGACTTTCCCAAAAGCTTCTCCTATTTTAATAGAACAAATGTAGCAGATTGAAGAGTGAGGATGTTTTGGAACCACTTGAAAAATACTGGTGGATTAGCAGGAAAGTTATCATGTCCTGATATACATTTTTGCCAGGAAGCTTGGGTTGGAGTAGAACCTGGCCACGCACAATGTTTTCAGTTGGCTAGTCAGCCAGAATTGTAGATCCCTATATATCTGTAAAAAGAGAGGAAAAACGCAATTATTCTGCTGTTTATGTCCAACTCAGTATACTAAGCATTGAGTCATCAGTGTCTACAACTTTCATTAACAAAGATATGTAGGTAATTCCTTGTTAGAGCTGCATGTCTCTCTGAAAAATTGATGGCAAACATGGTTGACATATAGACTATTCATAGCTAGTATGAATATCTTATTTGTTGTTTCAGAGTCATAATATCTAAACTAATGCATGCTATTTATTAATATTTTAAAATACGTTTATTTTTAAAAAGTTTGTATCTGCTGTAGGGCCTTTTTCAGAGCCAAGCCAGATCCTTTTTGTTTGGAAGATAATTGAGTAACTTCAAAAAATAATAGTTGCAAATTTCTACAAGCAAATTACCCTGCTATGAGAAGATGCATGATATATTTTGTACATGATCTTGGGGATTTCTTGAATGAGATGGAGCTGATCTAATCATATAAGGGCTTGACATTACTTATTGTACGTGTTAAAAAAGAATTGATATACCAGATCACAGAATGGGACAACTCACTGCGGCCATTTCAGTGCAGCCGGCTCACCATTGCCAAGTTGCCTTTGCCAACTCTGCCACTACATTGCTGCAGGACAACTCCACACAGGCCAACTCGCCGCGAGGACAATTTGCTGCACTTGGGTGTTTGGGCGAGTGAGCAGGTGTGCAGCGTGGCAGCAGCAGCTGGGGGCATCCCATTTTCACACACCCTGCCACTGCTGGCTTTGTTGCTGCCAAGCTTCAGGCTGAAGAGGCCCAAGATGTTGGCAGCAGTGGGTGGGACAGGTGGGGAAAATGGGGCATCCCATTTTCACATCTGCCATCACTTCAGCAAGCTCCTGGAACTCGGTATGGCAGAGGTGGGGTGTGTGAAAATGGAACGCATCCCAGCTGCTGCCCACCCAGCACACCACCAAACGCCCTGAACACCACCACTGCTGAACAGGCCGAACTCTGAACAGCCCAGAGTTCAGCATGGTAGAACAGGCAGTAGTGTGTGTGAAAATGGGATGTCCCAGTTGCTGACACTGCTTTGCACTCTCCCCACTTGCCTTCTCTCCTGGCTGTTCCTCCAGTGGGAAGCCACCGCTCTACCTATCTGTCTGCTCGCTCACCTGGCTCTTCCTCCAGCCACCGTGGCAAATTGTCCTTGCAGCAAGTTGGCTGTGTGAAGTTATTCTGCAGTGACTTGGTAATAAGTTGGCAGAGGTGACTTGGTGAGTTGGCCATTCCGAGTTGTCCTAGACCCCCCCAGATCAATTGGTGTAGTTAGTGCAGTTTGTCAAATGTTACATATTGACTTAAGATGAGAGACTAGTAACAGTGAATGAATCATAAAAAGTTCTTCTCCCTCATCCTCATTCCATGATAATCAATGATGGTCCAATTATTAGGACCCCTGCAGTTTAAGGACAAAACGTTGACTATTGATTTAAATGTTTCCTTTCCAAAACTGCCCATTCTCCTTATTTTATATAAATATAATGTTGGGAGAAATGAGAGAGTTTTGCCATTATTTGCAACAACGTATCTGTTATTGCACAATATGTCCTTATAGAAACAGACTTAAGAACTTCTATGACGGTCTAGAATCAAAATATAGCAAGTTCACACATGACATATCTGTTTAAATGAAAATATGCTTTAAATTTTCCCTTTCATGTTTGCATTCTGGGTTTTGGTTGCACCCAGCATACATCCTATTGTTTAATACTCTTCTGAAATTCTGCATCTGACTATCATAGACTGTATGTGCTGAGTATTTCTTAGATTGTATGTATAAAGCAAATTAGCAGTTCTTTAAAAAGGTTAAAAATGGTTTATTATTATTTCTGTTAGCTTGGTTCCACAGCAATTGGAATCCAGACATCAGAAGGAGTTTGTCTGGCTGTGGAGAAGAGGATTACTTCCCCACTTATGGAGCCAAGCAGTATTGAGAAAATTGTAGAAATTGATTCTCATATAGGTAAGAATAAAAGCTAATTCTTAAGAAAATTCTGCAGTGTAATTGCAATATGGATATGATTAAAATCCTTTCTTTGGTGATCTTCTAATTCCTATAATATGAGCTTATATGTAGACTTCCTTTGGTGTGAAATTAATATTTACTAGTAATGATCATTGGGTTTCTGAGTTCAAAATCAGCACAATATAGAATCAGACGTAGAAATCAGAAGCAACTTGCTACTATATGACCACTCTAATAAAAGTTTGTTTCCAAATATAGAAATTGGAGAGCTGGGAATTGCAATGTGTGCTCTTGATCCCCAGCCAACTCCTCTGTTGGAAGCTCATTGATTGACCTCTAATGTTAGTCTGTCCTCTGTACATGAGGCCATTTTTTAATATAATCACATACAAACCTCTGAGGAGAACTGGAGCTAGAGTTCATTTATATCTACCTTTCTCTGTGTTTAATATTAATGTTAACTATTTTAATATAGCCATGAACAATGGTATTGTCTAATAAAGTTAATTAATAAATAAGTATAACTGACAAATATTGTAAGGTTATCTGTACCTATGTCACTTGACCTGCTTTCTTCCACATGCAAGTGCATGAACTTTGTTTATGGCACACTTGAATTTCAACTTCTACAATTTTTTAAGAGTATCAATATGCATGTGGATGGATGATTAAAACACACTGTTTATTTGAATGTTCATGAGTCAATCTTTGGTGTCTCACAGGAATCAGTGTTGAAGCTGGTACTTTTTAATATGTATCTCCCCTTTTTCAGGTTGTGCGATGAGTGGCTTGATAGCTGATGCAAAGACATTAATTGACAAAGCAAGAGTTGAGACACAGGTAAAACTCAAATACTGTTCTTTGTGCACCTTGCTTTTTTTCCTCCCACATTTTTTTTAATTAGTTATTAGTTATTCACTCAGACTTAAAACAAACATGGCAGCAGAACTGCAGAAAAGAATTACAAATTAAATTTTATGTGAAAACAATATACAAAATTCAAGATGGATGTCAGTATTCCAGCAATCGCCCGAATTAAATCATGATTCTCGAGCCAAACTTTAAAAATCTTCAAAGGATTTATTAGAGGCGACATACTGGCACTGCCCTGTATGAAGCCAACTCTGGCATACGTAATTTACAGTCACCTGTGACCCTGTTTCCTCCCTCCCCCCCCAGTGTCTCATAAACCAATTTCTCCAATTGAGCATGATCATGTGCTGGGTGTCATCATTCATGTTCTCCAATTAAATATATTCACCGGGCAAAAGTTCTGCTATTTTAGTTACAATCTTTTAAAGATAAGAGTTGGAATGTACTTTCGCTTTCAAACTGCTGTACTGCTCTTCCAGATTTCCTTCCTCCTCCCCCGCTTTTTTATTTTATTTTATGGCAACTACTAAAACAGGCATAGGAATGTTTTGAGTTGACATTGGATATGAAAAGGTGAAATAAGATTCCATGACTGTACATCCCTCTTTTTTGTCACTAATTATTTACAATTACATGAATATTAGAAGAAACTCTGATGTCAGAATATGCTCTACTATCACGGCTTTTGGATTGCTTTCTTTGAACTGAGTTTGACAACATTTTAATAGCCTTATTTCTCTTTTAAAATTCTCTATCCAATAAAAAAAATCATAGGGAATAGGTACATTTTAGGGCATAAGTAAAACTGTTTTCCAAATAATTAGTTTTTAACTTCATAATTGTCAGGACTCTGCTTGCTATGGATGTGTTGTTAAATTGAAAATGTGTTTCAGTGAATGACTTCCATAATCTTTGCAAGTTAACATTCTTGATTCTTGGTTCAAGGAATTCCCTCAAATCACGCTTAACAGAACATAAATCATTTTTCTGTGAGTGGTTTCTGCACAGATGGCAAAATATTTAAGCTACTCAACTATGGAATATTGATTCTGTGATTGTGAAATTAGCTTCCTTTCATGTAATAAATTACAGTCTGCATAGGAACTGCTCATGGTAGAATGCTTCCCATGTGGTTGGAAGCATTTAAAAGAACTTTAACTAAGCTTGAATAGAAAATATGGACAGTGTTATTCATAGCACTTATCTATTCTAAAAGGAATAACAAATTAGTATGAATCATTAAAATCTTGCCCTTTATTGTGCGTTCTTCAGACCACATTGCAGCCGGTTTGCATGGTAGGTAATCTTTTGTGCATTTCTTCTTATGGTTGTAATTTTGGCTTAAGTTTATTGGGATGCAAATTGTATATATATTGAAGAAGAAATGTAACTTTTATGAAAAGAGATATAGATTTCTCTTTTTACCATCTCAGAATCACTGGTTTACATACAATGAAATCATGACTGTGGAAAGTGTGACACAAGCTGTATCCAACTTAGCGTTACAGTTTGGAGAAGAAGATGCTGATCCAGGTGCAATGGTATGTATGTCAATTATTTGTTAAATGTCCATCATTGACAATTGTATTCTTCAGTTACTAGGTCATTAAATGCCTGATCCTTCTATGATTTCATTCTAGTCAAGGCCATTTGGTGTGGCATTACTCTTTGGAGGAGTCGACGAAAAAGGACCTCAACTGTAAGTTGGGTTTTGTTTCTTCACTCTCGTTATTTATGTGTTTAAATCCAGACTATTTATCACCACTGAATTAGAAGATAGAATACCATAGAGTTTTACATAATCAACTGACAGAACAATCAACCAATGGAACACCTTGCTTTCAGAAGTTGTAGGTATTTCATCACTAGAAGCTTTCAAGAAGAGACTGTTAGAAATGGTATAGGGATGTGCTGGAGAACCTATGCCACATGTGCCAGAAGTGGCATGCAGAGCCATCTCTGGGCACGCCAGCCATCGCCTGTTGCTCTTTCAGGTTCCAGTGCGCACATGTGCACTGGTTAGCTGGTTGCGCGCCTGGGAGCAGTGGAAACCGGAAGAGTAGCTCCCTGGAGTGCATGCGCACGCTGGCTTGTTGGTCTTCACATGCGCATGCGCATTAGAAACTGGAAGACCAGGTGGCCAGCGCACATGCAGGGCTGGGAAGTTAAGCTTCCGGTTCTCCCACACGCACGCATCGGGGAGCTGCTCTTTTGGTTTCCAGCACATACGTGCGCTCCCATTTTGGCACTCGGTGCCAAAAAGATTAGCCACCTCTGGTATAGGGTCTCCTGCTTGAGCAGGAGGTTGCATTAGATGACCTACAAGTTACCTTCCAACTCTGTTATTCTATTCTAAACTAGAAATCAAGGAGAATGTCAGTAGATGAAGACTGGATTGGGTGTATGGATTGTATGAATTAACATACAATCTTTTAGCAACTACCAAACTCTTACACTAGTATCTATCTCCACTATTAAAGATAGACTGCTCAGAAAAATAAAGGGAACACAAAAATAAGATATCCTAGATCTGAATGAATGAAATATTCTTATTAAATACTTTGTTCATTACATAGTTGAATGTGCTGACAACAAAATCACACAAAAATTACCAATGGAAATCAAATTTAGCAACCCATGGAGGTCTGGATTTGGAGTTATACTCAAAATTAAAGTGGAAAAAACACTACAGGCTGATCCAACTTTGATGTAATGTCCTTAAAACAAGTCAAAATGAGGCTCAGTAGTATGTGTGGCCTCCACGTGCCTGTATGACCTCCCTACAATGCCTGGCCATGCTCCTGATGAGGTGGCAGATGGTCTCCTGAGGGATCTCTTCCCACACCTGGACTAAAGCATCCCCCAACTTGTGGATAGTCTGTGGTACAACGTGGCATTGGTGGATGGAGCAAGACATGATGTCCCAGATGTGCTCAATTGGATTCAGGTCTGGGGAACGGGCGGGCCAGTCCATAGCATCAATGCCTTCGTCTTGCAGGAACTGCTGATACACTCCAGCCACATGAGGTCTAGCATTGTCGTGTATTAGGAGGAACCCAGGGCCAACCGCACCAGCATATGGTCTCACAAGGGGTCTGAGGATCTCATCTTGGTACCTAATGGCAGTCAGGCTACTGGCGAGCCCATGGAGGGCTGTGCGGCCCCCTAAAGAAATGCCACCCCACACCATTACTGACCCACTGCCAAACCAGTCATGCTGGAGGATGTTGCAGGCAGCAGAACGTTCTCCATGGCGTCTCCAGACCCTGTCATGTCTTGTCACATGTGCTCAGTGTGAACCTGCTTTCCTCAGTGAAGAGCACAGGGTGCCAGTGGAGAATTTGCCAATCTTGGTGTTCTCTGGCAAATGCCAAACATCCTGCACGGTGTTGGGCTGTAAACACAACCCCCACCTGTGGACGTCGGGCCCTCATACCACCCTCATGGAGTCTGTTTCTGACAGTTTGAGCAGCCACATGCACATTTCTGGCCCGCTGGAGGTCATTTTGCAGGGCTCTGGCAGTGCTCCTCCTGTCCCTCCTTGCACAAAGGCGGAGGTAGCAGTCCTGATGCTGGGTTGTTGCCCTCCTACGGCCTCCTCCATGTCTCCTGATGTACTGGCCTGTCTCCTGGTAGCGCCTCTGTGCTCTGGACACTACGCTGACAGACACAGCAAACCTTCTTGCCACAACTCACATTGATGTGCCATCCTGGATGAGCTGCACTACCTGAGCCACTTGTGTGGGTTGTAGACTCCGTCTCATGCTACCACTAGAGTGACAGTACCGCCAGCATTCAAAAGTGACCAAACCATCATCCAGAAAGCATAGGAACTGAGAAGTGGTCTGTGGTCACCACCTGCAGAACCATTCCTTTATTGGGGATGTCTTGCTAACTGCCTATGCTTTCCACCTGTTGTCTCTTCCATTTGCACAACAGCATGTGAAATTGATTGTCGATCAGTGTTGCTGCCTAAGTGGACAGTTTGATTTCACAGAAGTGTGATTGACTTGGAGTTACATTGTGTTGTTTAAGTGTTCCCTTTATTTTTTTGAGCAGTGTACAAAGATACTGGCCAAAAAGCAAAGCTGTTTTGAGGTCTATACATTTTCATAGGGCAGCTGAAGTAGGGGGGATCCGGAGAAGGGTTTGGGGGTGCTGCAGACCCCCTCCCTGGCCGGCAGAACCCCCTTTTCCCAGGACGGTGCAGCGGCGGTCCGTAATGGCCGCCACAAAGAAGCTGGCAGCCGGGTAAGAATGCGCAGGAGGAAGTGGAGAAAGTGATTGAGAGGAGAAAGTTTTTCTTGGCTCCTAGGACTCTAAGACATATTTAATAAAATTCCTGAAAAGTATGACTTTCTGAATAATACCTGCCAGAAGAGGAAAAAAGCGGCTGCTTGAAGGTGCTGAAAGGATAGCTTTCCCTCTTTTCCTACGGAATAAATAACTGGATATTAAGAAACCTATTTTTTAGGTGGAAATTGGTTTTAAGCGATGAGTGGGAAGAGAGAGGATTAAAAAGAAAATATTTGTATGCTAAGATTTGTTGGAGCAGATGCCTTAAGGATTTGAAGACTAGAATATATTGTAACAAGACTTTAAACAGATTATGGACTTTCTTTCTCTTTGATTGATATCACCCCAGAAGGAGAAAGTGAGAACTCTGCCTTGGTTTGGACTGATTGATAACTTTGGGACTGTTCTATCTTTTTTATTTTCTTTTGAATATTCTGGTTGTTGTAAGAAGAAAGAAGGAGAAAAGAAAAGAAAAGATTTATAATGGCTCTTTCTGTTGAGGAACTAAGAAATGGTGTGGAAGAAGCTTTCCTTTTCTTAGAAATGGCGCTTACTAATTATCAACAAAAATTACAACAGATGAAGACAGCAGAGGAACAAGAAAGAAAGGAAGGAGCCATCTTTAATGAATCTCAGAATTTGATCCAGAAAAAAGGAAGAGAGAAAGAAAAGAAAAGAAGAGAAAAGAAGAAAACTAAAGGATTTAAGGACTTAAGATCTAAAAAAACATTTAAGAAAGGGAAAAATAAAGTGCAAAACCAATATGATTGTAAACAAAGGGGAAAAGAAATACGACAGAGAAGGGAAGCCGGTAAGGCAGAGGCTAGAAGAAGGGGGGGTAGAAAGGTTTGTTGGGAAAAGAAAGAAAGGGAAAAGGTGGAGAAAAGCTACAACGTTTTGAAATTAAATGGAAAAAAGGAATTTTTTATGGATAATGGATAAAGTATAATTTAAAAAAAAAAAAAAAGATTTTGCAAGGTACATAAGATGAGATGGTAGTATTGCAATGGTTTAAGAGTTGATAAGAGATTAAAATGTTAAAATGTTTAAAAATGATTGGTTTTAAAACTTAATAATAGGAGAGGTTTAGAATATTGTTTTAATTAAAGAGTTTAATAAAATTATGGTATTGATGTTATTATAAAATTTTTATTATAGTATTTCTTTTTAATATTTGGATTTATTCTCTAATTATGCACTTAATTGTGTTGGATGTATTAGTTAGATAGAATGTACCAAGCAAAATCTGATTGGGTATTAGATATTATTTTAAAGATTAATTTGATTAACTTAGGGGGGAGATAGAAAGGCATCATACTCTGATTAATGATTTCAGGAGAAACTGATTTTCTTTTTTTTCATAAGGGATGAGACAAAGGGATGATAAAAAATGGACAAAAGATACAAATATAATGATTTAAACTAAGATGATTAATTAAGGTAGAATTAAGAAGTGTGAAATATGTGGAGAAGTTAATATAGAAGGCTTAGAATGGTAAATAAAATAAGTAATGATATGTAAGATGAGCATGAATATAATTGAAGTCCATGAAGAGAGAGACACCTGGGTCCAAGTTACTTTCCAAAAAGATATTTTTTTTATGTTTTGTGTGTTGTGTGTATATGTCTTTTTTGGGGGGAGAATTGGTAAAAACTTGTAGAAATATAGAATGAGAATAATGGTAACTAAGTCAGAAAGAAACAGATGAAATAATAATAATGATATTGAATAAGAGTAAAGAGAAGTAAAGAGAAATTGAATAAGAGGTTTTGGTATATTATATGGAAATGGTTTAAAACAGAATCATAATTTATCTGACTTGTTAAATTTACAAGGGAAAAAGGTTTAAACATGTAATGAATAATGATAATTTGTGTGTTTTAAAAATTAATAAAACTTGTTTTAAAAAAAAATAATAATAATTATAATCCAAAGATTTTTCAATGTTTGCAAGGACACATAGGTGTAAAAATATGATAAATTTTATTTTGATATGAGGACACAAACACCTTGTATCTATCATTAACGTTGAAAAACAAGAAATTCAATGGTTCTTCTAGTAGATACATGCTCAAAAGCAGTTTGAATGGCACTTTATACAGAATATGACTTCGGTAGGAGTATAAAATCTCTGATAATGCAAAATTCAATGAAAATAAAGAGGAGTAAGTTTCCATTATTGTTGTTGGGTGTTTTCAGAAGAACTGGCAGACTCCAAGGTAATCTAATATCTGTGATCTTCTGAGGCATTCCTTAGATAGTGTTTAAGACAGTCTAGTCCTTGTAACTAGAAACACTTCAGAGTTCCAAGCACATTTTAAAGGAGAAAGTTGTCCTAAATTTTATAGTGGAAGCAGCTCAGTTATGAGTGCAAGAAAGGCTTGAAAATGAGGAAGGGAATTGCCATTTCCAAAAGGAGGTGGGAAAAAATCATCCTAAATTGCAAAACAACATTAAGCTTATGTCTGCAGATTTTTTTAAATAATTGTAATCATTAACCAGCAAATCTCACTTATACAAACAAAATATGTTTGATGGACAGCACACTCTAGATGGTGTACATTGCATTTTAATAAACTCAGATTTTCTTTCATCTTTAGGCTGTCTTTTTTTCCCTCTCTTCAATTTCCTTTTCAGTAATTGAATACAGTTTCATGATAAGAGGAAGTGATAGAGTTGACACGAACTATTTAAGAACAAAATGTTCTTTATTAAAATAATCATATGAGAAATGGTACTTATCACCATTAAGATATATTTTAAAGAACATGAACTGTTCTTGTTTGTAAAATATTTTATCAGTTGCTGAAATTTATTAAATGGCTGCAACAAAATAAAGTAATTTATTTCAATTCTGAACCATCTCCAAATATTTTTTTTTACCATTGTATTTCTATAATGAGAACTCAGTTATGACTGTAGAGATTTTGGTTCACACAATTATATTACTGCCTTCTGTGCCTTCATATTTATTCACTTAATTTAATGTGCTTGTGGACCAGTGATTGAGCTGCTAGATAAATATTCAGCAACCTGATTTTCAGTGGATAACTTTGATAAAATCATAGTTTTTAGAATTATGGGTGTACAAGCAATTGCAAGAACCGAAATCCTAAAGAAAGATTCAAAAATCTGAAAACCGCAAAAAATAGCAAGGAGATTAAATTCATAGGACTCTTCCAGAAGAAGGAAAGGGCAGTGATACTTATTTACACTATATGCTTGGTTAAAAGGGGGGGGAGTTTGCTATATAAAAGTGTAAAACTAATTTCTGCAGCACAATCTTAGCCATTTTAATAAATGAAAGAGCAAATCTGACTTCAATCTTTTTTTTTTAGAAAACAAGTAGAAATTGATTTGATTTGATTGAGTGTGAGAGAAAGAGGGAGAGACTTAGAGGGAGGGAGAAGAATTTAATACAGGTGATTTTTTTGTGGCTATTAAAAGAACAAAAACCATCCTAAAGTTTATTTGAATCCAAAGTGTCCTTTTTTATTGAAGGTGTTTCTTCTCATCTGGCTGTGTATATGATGCTTTCTTGGCAGGTTCTCCTTTAAAAGAAAGCCAAGCCAGGCAAATCCTATTCACCATGCAATGTTTTCTGGCTCTAAGCCACGTAGTAAAACTGTGGCTATCCCTACTACTTCCCCAAATTTGTTGGATGTAATCATTTGATTAAATACGCACATATGTACTTACACACAATCTTTTCCCTAGTCAAATATAACTCAGAATAAAACTGCAGACTTTATAAGTGATCTGCATGGCACTTGATGGTTTGTTCATTTTCATATCTTTTTATTTATGCATGTAGATTTCATATGGATCCTTCTGGGACTTTTGTACAGTGCGATGCAAGAGCAATTGGATCAGCTTCAGAAGGTGCACAAAGCTCACTGCAGGAGATTTATCATAAGGTGAAAGTCCATTTTATTTGGCCTTACTCTTTATTGTAGCTTTTTGATGAAAGCAGAGAGATAAAGAAAATAAGTGTGACTTTTATTGTAGCGGTATCCACAAAATCCTGTTGTTTGATTTCTTTTAAAATAGCTGTAAGTTTCATTGTTCTAGACTCACCTGGGTTATCTTCTCATCAATGTATTTTGAGCAATTTAAAAAGTGTCATTACCTATGGCATTTTGAATATTTTCAACATATTTATAGGCTCCAGCTGGTTTTGGATCTGAGAAGTTCACAGGAGTAGAACCTTTTATAGAAATACCATGAAAAGAAATGTTGAGATGTTTTAAATTAAATCTGCTTTCTTGACTAACAAGTCAAATTAATAATTTAATTTCATGCCTAAACAAGAGCTTATATTGTCTTTAAATATATGCTAATTATAATATGTCAATGACTGAAACCTGCAGTTCTCAGCCCTAAGAATATTTTCACAAAGGTGAACTGCATCCAACTGTAGCAACAGATTTCTATGATTACTTTTCCATTGAATAATTTAGATTTATGTACATTCAATTTAGACTAGCATGTGGAGTAAGAACACTGTCCAGTCAGTTTTATGCATGTCATTCTATATAATGGCTTACTTTAGCATTTGTTTAATTTAAGAAAATTATCCAATTAATGTGATAATTACAGCCGCTTGGTGCCTATCTTACCAACCTTAAGTTTCATGATTTCTCTTTACAGTCAATGACACTGAAAGAGGCAATTAAGTCGTCCCTTATAATTCTAAAACAAGTTATGGAAGAAAAGCTGAATGCAACTAACATTGAGGTATATTAATCCATTTATTAAAGGTTTTCCATCAATGTCTATGTTATGTGAATTTCAGCACAGATACTGAAGTAGCTTAGATTTGCTGTGGATTGTATATTACTGGTATGTCCCAATTATTTTGGGGTAAAATTGTTGGAGTTAAGTTGCACATTTGGCTCTGATGTTTCAGGGTTGATATTCCCGAGATTAGAGTGTTGAGATCTTTGTAATGAAATAGTGATCCATATACTTCTTAACATCTGCATGCCAATTCTTTACTGCCATAGTAGCAAAAATTAATGTAATGTGAATAGATTGAGCCCTTAAAATCTTAAAAACTAACACTAGTGGACTCAAGTTCCATCTAATTCAATGTTCTACTAACTAGACAATTAGATAGGAATGTGGACAGCTACCTAACTTAAAAACAGAAAACTTTCTGTTCTCCTACAGCTGGGATTCACAGATGTATTGCTTTGATATCAGAAATGCCATATAATTGTTTTTGATGATTTAAGGTTGAGGTTATCCAAATATGGCCAGGGTGAGAAACTCAGGAGCTAGAATATATTGAAGGCTTGGAACAGAATCTAGTGACTTTATGTGATCTTTTAAAAAAGCATACCAGATCTCATTCAAACTTGGATAGTAGATCAGTAGGAAGTGCCAGGGCTGATGGTTAAATTGGGAAGTCAATCTTCCCAAAGAATATATTGGAAAGCCACTTTAATAAAACTGCCAAGTAGTTTTATTGCAGTGCTTTTTAGGAAATTGAATGTGTGCATTGTTGAATGCAGCCACTGAGGGTAGCCTTAAGACTAACAGAAATTGTTGAGTGAATTGCATAAAGGTACCAGGAACTCACTAAAGCAGAGGAAGTTAAGAACTAAAATGTTGGATTTACATTGCATAGCATAAGGTTAACATAATGGTCTCTCTCCAAAACAGGAATGTGTGTTTTAATATAACACAACAGATGGAATATTTGGGCTATAGGGGATTCCTACTGGTGGATTCTTGCTAGGCACCCAAATCTTCTCAGTAGTATACCTTCTACCACCTCCACTCCGCCCCGCTCCCCTCATTATCTGTATATTGGCTTGTTTCTTGCCATGAAGATCTTTAAACATTAGATTACCAATGCATTCCCATCAACCTGCTGCTCAGTGCCTGGTCTGCTAGTTCTTTCTCTTCCATTCCTCATCTTCCCTCAGTCACTAATGCTGACATTGCTGCATGCATTTGCAAAAGATAAATGAAACACACACACACACACACACACACACACACACACACACACACACACACACACTGCACTGACAACCCTCCACATACACTTCCCAATCTACCCAGCATATTTTCTTTCCTCCCTCTTGCCTTTTCTCAGTCAGTACACTATTATAGTGTCAAGGCCTGTTCCATACCAAGATGGCCTCAGCAGTAAAGAACAATCTCCCAGTGCAATTTATTTCACTAGCCTGGTGCGTCCCAATCTTCCCAGTGCCTTCCCTCCCTCGTCTTATATCAGCTGATGATGATTGCATTGCCAAGGATACCCTTTAGCTCCCACTGTTACTTACCATTCAATTCTTCCCAGAGGAATTGTATTTTGGTTACTTTCCACAACAAATGGCCCCTGTGCTTATTCCATATATATCATATGGAACCATATATCTGAAACATGGATATTTTGGTTTATGCAGACTATCACAAATCAGCTTGTTTGGGGCAGCAAGAGCTTGTGCAGCGAATATACTGCTGCATAGCCCTACGTTTCTTCTGTGTTTTATGGAGCAAAAAGAAACATGTATGGACCAGACTCAAGTTTTGATGGAGCAGTGTGGATAAAAATACTTGTTTAACCTAAAGGAGCTAAACTTAAGCAAAGGTGGTAGAGCTTTTGTAATTTCTTCTTTTCTCCAAAGAACTAGAGCATGCTAGAAATGACTTTGTTCTTAGAAATGTATTAGGATGGAAAGATCTACAAGCCAAAAGTGTTCAGACAGTCAAACAGTAGTATCTGTTTCATGGGCAGTAATCAATCTTCTGTATGTCAAGGGCTGCTACTTTCTAATGTGAATAAGTATTTATAGCTTGCCTTTGCTGTCCTTGCAGCTTGCAACAGTGCAACCAGGGAAGAAGTTCCACATGTACACAAAAGAAGAACTTGAAGATGTCATCAAAGATATTTGATGAGAGGAGGAACTCTCTCAGCTGCCTCATTCCCTGACCACAGCAAACTGAATTTTCAGTTGTTTTCCAGTGCCCGTAACTTTATTTCAGCAGCACGTATGCCTGCTCTTAAAGGCGCAAAGATTTTTTTACAGTTTCTGTACATAAAGATCTTCAACAAGAGGAAACTAGAATAAATCATTTTGTTATTCTTACGTCACTAATTCTTTGATAAAGTTCTGCGGTGGGAGGTGTGCTTAAAATTAGTAGTGTTAGGGTAGATGCATCTTCAAATGTTTTCTTCCTCATACACCAAATTTGGCTTTCTCAGAGATGCATACAAGAGGATGGGAATGCAGGTAGTCCTTGATTGACAACAGTTCATTTAGTGATCATTCGACTTTGAATATAACCTGAAAAAAAAGTGACTTATGACCGTTTTTCACAGCTACATCCCCATGGTCATGTGATCAAAATTCAGAAGGTTGGCAATTGGTTCATACATATGACCATTGCTGTGTCCCAAGGTCACTTGATCCCCTTTTGCGACCTTCTGACAAAGTCAATGGGAAAGCCAGATACACTTAACAATGGGGTTACTAACTTATTAACTGCAGTGATTCACTTAACAACTGTGGCAAGAAAGGTCGTAAATGAGACAAAACTCAATAAATGTCTCACAACAGAAATTTTGGGCTCAATTGTCATATGTCAAGGACTACCTGTAATTGCCTCTCTCTTCCACACACAAATATATTTTCAGCACTTTCTTATTCGGTACAGATAGTCCTCGACTTACAACAGTTTATTTAGTGGCCATTTGAAATTACAATGGCACAGAAAAAACGTGACATAATGACAGTTTTTCACACTTATGACCATTGCAGCATCCCCATGGTCACGGAATCAAAATTCAGACGCTTGGCCACTGACTCATATTTATGATGGTTGCAATGTCATGTGATCGATCACCTTTTTTATCCTGACAAGCAGTCAGTGGAGAAAGCCAAATTCATTTAATAACTCTGTTACTAACTTAACAATTGCAGTGACTCACTCAACAATTGTGGCAAGAAAGGTTGTAAAATGGGGCAAAACTGACTTAACAAAATGTCTCACTTAGCAATAGAAATTTTAGGCTCAATTGTGATAAGTCAAGGACTAACCGTATTTGATGTTTTAATAGGAGAAATCTTAAAGCTCCACCTGGTTGCAGGCTTTAACTCTTTTTTTAAGTACAAAATGCACTTTGATCCTAGTCACAGGGTCCACATTGCTGGTTGGGGAAGGCTGAATAGAAATACAGTCATTGGGATTAAAGAGGCAGTTGAGCAATAAATCATTAAAAAAGAGAAAAAGGATCCCTTGGGACAATATTTCAGGCCTTTATAGTCTCCTTTTCAAACTGAAAGATTCCCTCTCAAAATTCAGTACAGCTTAAACCACTGTACATACAGTTATAATTACTGTACATTACTTCCCTTAGTTATCTAACTGCTGGTATCTGGTGTCTTTCTAATATTACCAGTAGGCTAAACTTTCTTCCTTTTCTGGATGGCATGAGAGTAACCAAACTCCCAGACATGTGGCCTTCAAAAGTCATTCCTGGAGCTCCCATTTTTAGCCTTTTAAATTACCTAGCTCCCTCATGTGGAACATGAGATAAATCAGGCAGTATATTTAAGCAAATGAATCAGTTCTAATTACCTCCTTGACATGTAATGATTTGTAAATCAGTTATTTACAACAAAATAAACTCCCAAATAAAATATAGAGGAAAAATATGTTAAAAAAGAAAAAAAAGATTGAATTTCTTAACAATTTTTCTCTCTGTATATATATTTAGAGGCAGATGTGTGATATGGGATGTGATGAGGGTTAGAAATAATGTATAGACATTAGATGGGGTTTCGAAGTGATTGGCTTCCAGAAGTAACTTGGGGCAGCAGGGGAAGAAAGCTCCATTTGCATCTCTCCAGGCAAATGGACAGAAGGTACAATGGATTTATTGAATTTATATTGCCACCTATTCACCCATGGCGAATTTGCACTGTTTCCAACCAAGCAGGTGGCAAGCAACAGAATCTGGCAGCATTGCAGATCAGTTGTGCTTGACTCAGCTGCTTGGCAGGGCAAGATGAAATCAAGGAGCACATCCATTACAGAAGTAGTGGATACAGAGGAACAGCTCTGTTCTCATCCTGGGATGGAGTAGAAACCAATCCACTCCGCATAAAGAGATGGCAGTGGCTATGGTAACCAGGCAGCGGGAGTCCTTGGTGTAATGAAGAACCTGGATATCCAATGGGTGACAACAATGAGAGTGGGAATAAGTTGGTATTCTTACAAGAGGATCTTACAAGAATCCTCTGGCTGCATCCTGACTGACTACGTGTTGCATTGGCCATTTTGATGCCCACCCTCCAATTTCCCCCCCCCCCCTCAAACTGGATTGAAATTAGCCTTGTAGTTGGTAGACCAGAGCAGATTTCAAAAGATTTAACCGGGGGGGGGGGGGGGGGATTACATTGTGAATGTTGGTGCTATGAGAGGAGAGATCTGGACTGGTTAGGGGTTGGGGGAAGAGTTTGGTTTGGAGACTAGGCAAATTGAGGCTGGGTTTGTTCACCCTTAAGCGAGAGACACAGGAAGGAGAATATTGACTGCCACTCTTGCCAGTATATGCTTTCTTCCTCCTGCTTGAAAATTGAGGTGGGGGAAGTGTGTGAGATTAGAGTGGATCGGAGGAGTAATCGAGTGAATGATGAGCATCAGATGTCTTGTCCAGGGTTTAGTCATTGAATGTAAAATAAAAGTGTCAGTATCTGGGCAGAGCTTATTTGCTCTATGTATTGATGGATGAGTCCCTTTGGCTTTGAATGAGGTCAAAGCTAGGGTGTGTGGGTGGAGGGAATAGAACGAGGATTGACATTTTTGAACTTCGTGTAGGAGAAGACTCTTGAGAATACTATGAACAAAAATCCCCAAATTTTCACTTGAGGAACAAATGACCAGGTTTAAAGTATTCTACTTCATATACATTGTGCAAAGGTTTAGTTCTTTTGAGAAGGCTCTAACCTTGGAAAGGATGGAAGGAAAGAGAAGAAGGGGTTGACGGGGTAGATGAATTCATAGCTCACTTAAAGAGTTGACATCCATTTAATGGCACATAATATGTGCAGGAATTATTTCTCTTATTTCAGTTGTATTTACCTGGGAGGCACTTGCTATTAGTCACCCAAAGATCATATGGCTCTTATTTTGACTCCTTATGTTATACCTGCCTTTTTTTTTTTTTTAACTGAGCCTCCCTTAATGGTCATTTTTTATGTTCTGAGATTATTTAGAGAAGAAACATGATTACAACTATAGACTGTTTACGCTCCTTCGGGGAAACTTCATTTTTCATATGTTTTGTGAACAAGATCTCTGAACATATCCTCACTTTGTATGCAAGGTATAAGGCCAAGAAAGGTAAGAATGGAACATAGGTGCATACTACGAACTGCCCAAATCAAGGGGGAAGTAAGATATTGTATCATATCCGTTGCTAGAACTCAGATTTGATTTTTAGGATAATGATCTAGATTCAGAAGATGAAAAGGTGATTCAGAGCATACCGAGACACATAGCATATATTGGCAACTCTAAAACCCAGTAAAATTCAAGGTTAACTTAAGGAAGTGTTGACAGGTCTGGTGTACGTGCCCACATTGTACAGTACAAACCTTTTATTTTGCTGTGAAATACAAGAATGAAATAATAAACATTCTTGCCATATGTTGCCAATACAAACTGAAAAAGGTGTTTTTTAAAAAGGTGTGAAGTGGAAACAGCAACTGAATGTTTACAATTGTATAGATCTGGAAACCTTATGTACCAAACAGAAGGAACAATTAATATTCTGTTCTCTGATGTGGAAAGTATCCCATGTGGAATGTGTCGAGGTTATATAACATTCTGGATGGACATGAAAGATGCTTTTATTGAAAGCCGAGTTGTCTTCACTGGCTGAGAATTATAGAGCGCTTCAAGGTGTCCAGTGAACATGCTAGTAAATGACAGCTGGTTACCCAGTTCTGTAATCTATATTTCTTCACTGAATTTAAGGTGACTGCTACTTTGGTAGTGAATGAGGATTTTAAGAACAGATATATAATTATATATTAAGCATATTAATATTGATTTATATAAATATTTATTAATCATGTTCTGATGACACTGGACAAATTTTCTTTAGTGTTGACGAAAGGAACCAAAGGATTAGCCCGTATTTGATAGTATGCACTGAATACTCAGAAAATATTTTAATTCTGCCAGATTTTCCTAAATATTTCTGTTTGACTTGGCTGTGACGGCAGGATGAGTGCTTGTGGCCAGCGGCCCTGAGAAGTTAACTTTTTGACTTGAAGGCATAGCCCAGGCAAATGACTTTTTTAAGGCAAAATATTTGAAGACTTCTGAAACTCTTCTGGCCAAATCATGGGTATAAAAGTTAACTTCGAACAAAATTATCCAATAGGGTTTTCACCTTATACTAAATACATCTTCCAGTATGAGGAAGGGAGGAAAATATATGAATCAGGTAAGTACATGAATAGCAACTCCAGTTCCCCAGATTGAGAACTTGGATTAACCAGTCCATAGTCAAATGAAAAGGGGATATTCTGTTGCTTGCAATTGCTCAGGCCTTAGTCACTTCCTGATTGGATTACAGGTAGTCCTCAATTTACAATAATTTATTTAGTGACTATTCAAAGTTGCAACAGCACTAGAAAAAGTGACTTATGATTGTTTTTTTTCCACAATTATGAACATTACAGCATCCCCATGGTCATGTGATCAAAATTCAGATGCTTTGCAATATTTTTGATGATTGCATTTATGTCTTGGGATCACCTTTTGCAAACCTTCTGACTAGCAAGATCAACTGGAAAGCTAGATTCATTTAACAATGGAGTTATTAACTTAACAACTGCAGTGATTAACAACAGTTGCAGGTAAGGTCATAAAATATGTAAGATAGCTTAACAGGATATGATGTCTCCAAATAGTTTTTGCTTTGCCCAATTACTCAGGTTACTCATATTCATTGATTTATATGACCCTGCTAGATCCTCCTAACTGGAATGTATCTGTTATTAAAATCATGAAGGAATCCTTGTGATTTTAGGGCTAAAGTCCTAAATGGATTTTCTATAGCCAGGGGGGAGGGGAGTGGATCAAACTTGATTTTATTGAGGGTCGCA